TCTTTGGTGTTAGGTGAGTTTCTGTAATTAGAGCGATATTTATTTTTTTTGTCGTAGAGTAAGTGTTGAAGTTCATTTTTATTGTAAGTTATTCCATTTGCGTTCCAAAGTAGTATTGATAAAAAAGGAGTTTGATTGTTAACATTAGACATTTTTTACTATTAATTTGTCGATGACTGTTGTTAAAAGTGAAATAAGTGGGTTAATGAGGGATTTGAATTCGTTTAAAAAGGAGGTTAGTTGGGTAGTCATGTTTTCGTTTTGTTGGTTTTGGTGTTCGTTATTTGTGTGTATCGAGTTTTGTTTTGTAGAGTGGCCTGAGAATAGGTTTGGCTGTTATTTGAATTATTTGGGTGTAAGGTACTATTGAGAATTGGCTTGTACAAAATTGGGTTTATAAAATTTGTGTTTTATTCGGTTATGTTTGTGTTGTTTTTACTTGGTAGTTGTTCTTTTCGAAGTTGTTGCAGATTTTTGAAAACAAGACATCCGCGATAATTTGCTGGGTGATTTCCATTACATAATGCACCTTTGGCAGGGAGCTCTCGACTTTTGGTGCATGTGTCAGTTCTGTGGTTTTCACCGCAACGGACACATCTCGGATGGTTGTTGCAGTAAGTTCTGGTGTGATCGTAGTTATGGAAATTTAAGCATTGTGGTGCTAGTTTGTTGATTCGAGGTGCTTCGATTTTAACTTTGGTATGACATAGAGTTTTGAGCTCGAATATGTTTTTATTGTTTAGTGCTGGTTCTAGATCTACAAAAAAGAGAGGTAGATGTATAATTGAGACTCTATGAAGAGCGTTTATGTCATTTCTCGCTTGAAATCCTTCTTTTTCAAGTTCTTCTTTTATGTAATCGGGATCAGTAGTAGGATGTAAATTTCTGATTACAATCCGGTACGGTTTGTTTTCTTTAAATTGATAAGTGAAAAATTCTACTTTTGATTCTTTTAGGTATCTAATTATAGTTCTGTATTCATTTGATGAGGTAGTGTTAAGTTTAAGAGACTCGGTAGATCTTTTGCAAGTAAAATCGTCGGTCGGTTCGACTATATTTTTTATTTTTTTCGCAAAAAACTTGATAACTTTGGACTTTTATTTTAATAAATATTGGTGGAGGTAATTTGGATACGATTTCATTTATTTCGTTATTTTCCATATCCGTGTCTTTATTTTGCGGTAGGACACTAAATTTATTACGGGAGGAAAATTGCGTGCTCGTCGTAGTTTTGATTGTTTTTGATAACGGACTTTGTTTTTCGGAGTTTAAACGTTTTTGAAATTTAGGAGAAACGACCTCTATCCAGTCGTAATTCAAAACATCATTATTATCGTAGTAGGATAACTGACTATTGTGTGTGTTTTTTCTTTGCACGGTGTTTTGATTAATAATTTTAATTGGGGAGATAGTTTTAGTTATTTTAGTATTCATTTTAATTAGGTTGTTACGTAAATGAAAGATACGCGGTTGGGAAGACGGTTGTATTTACGTATAGGGTACGTATTTAGGGTTTTTTTGACCCCAGACGGACAGTGATTTTCTTTTTCTAAAGAACACTTAAAAATTATTGTTTTTTTGACACTTTTCATAACAAAAACGGTTAAGTATTTAGTTTGATTTTTAATAAAATAGTAACTAACGATTAATTTACATGCACACATATTACGAGTGCGGAATATCGAATGACTTTTGTACTTAAAATTCAAAATTTGAATTGACCTAAAAAACACACTGGTAACGGTCGAATATGGGACCTACATCATAAATGTAAAATACAAATAATTTTAACTAATATTTTTTTTATTCCACTTCTCAGTGTCGTCAATAAATGTATTGTTCCAGTCCATATTGTTATGAAATGTCTTTTTCATATCGATCAAAAAGTTATCAAAAATAGTTTTTCGATTTTGATACGATCTTCACTACTCCCCTTGGAGTTGTCTATCTAGTAAAGGAGACACCCCATTCTTTTTAATGTTATATTTGGATTTTGTAACTCTCCATAAGCCTTCAATTTGTTGAGTGTGTACTCTTGTTTACGGGTCAATAAAAATTCTAAATGGTTAACTGTTTGATGAATATATCCATGATGATTTAAAGTTGAGTATGCTCTCTATTGGTCACTATAAATTATCGTTCCAGTTTTTATTTCATTTTTAATAGAGTTTCTCGGTCCCAAAATACACAAATAATATTCCCATAATAGAATAAAAGGCCCATGACGACATTAACCACAGTAACGAAACAAGTAGATCAACACAATCTTATCGGTAGGGTCGAGTAACATTTGTATGTCGCATATTGGACCATTACTAACACACTATTATAGACGATAGATGAGTACTTAACAATTAAAATATTTGACTAGTTCATTTTATGGGTATCACGTCAATTGTTCACGTAACAACTATTTGCCGAAAAATTATTCGAATTCAACAATTGTTCGCAAAAAAATAGTTTACACGTATAAATATTCTCATTTTTTATTTTTATTTCTAATTTCCTTTGTAAAAATGATCAAAAGCATAAGAAAGACTATATATCATTCATCAGGTTAAAAATAGTACCATACGATAGCGCTTTGACGCTGTACTACAAAAACTTACTCTGCAAAAATATATACTTCTGTAAAAAATATTGTAATGGTACCTAAATGATAAAATTAATATGATGGATATGATAATACTATTTGGAAGTGAAACAAAGATTATATTCTAATTAATGTAAAAGAAAATATCGAGAAAATTTGAATACGAAACAAAGCAATATATTAGACAAAAGTATCTCAATTTGATAACATTACTATTAATGATGTTTGATTCGTTCGGTAAAATATGCATAACACACGTGGAAACCTATTACAGATACCTTTGGTTAAGTACATAATGGTAAAAATTACATTAAAAGAATGTACGACATGAAACTAAATACATAAAGTAAACTTTAATTTTTACCAAGTACCTTTAAGAGGAAAAAATTACATGTACTATTAGTAGTGCCAAATATCGGGTGCCAGTTAAAATCGCGAAATATTTTAACAGCGAAAACATTAATAACGAAAAGTAAGAAATTATTTTCGTTAGTGGATATACCTTAATAATTAATGAGTAATAATAAACATTAAAATAACTTTAAAATCAAAATACTATATAATTTAACGATTTCTTCGGTTTTTAAATTAAAGCGTGTTTTACATAGGATTTCATTATACCTCCAATAAATGTTAGATTTATATTTTTTATCAAATCTATACAAATAACCATTATATTTTAATAAATTTTTGTTTTTTTTGACTTTGAATAAACTCCATTACGAATGCATTACGTATGAATATGACAACGGACAACTCGATAATGGTTATAGGTTATAAGACTTAAAGTACAAAATGACATTGATTATCTAGATATCATTATTATTATTTACAATATGATAAAGCTTGACAGTGGTTAGGTTTAACCACGGCTTATCTTTATAACGTGATCCAAGACGCAAAAGTACAAAATTACATTATTCATTATCTAGTATTATTATAAAGGTATACCCGCTGTTAAATCATTTCGCGATTTTCACATGGACTCCCAAATACCATCGCCTAATTTTTTGTTTGTATTTAAGTTTTAAAGTTTAAATACAATATAAATGATCAATGTCAAAAGCTATGATCATCATTAAGTTAAGTTTAACGAAATTGGGTCAACTAGAAGATAATTAACTTTGGGTTGTTAGAACTTCTAATCACTGTATTAACACAATATATGTATAATTAGGTATAGTAAAAACTTTTTAACGTGATATTTAATTACATAAAATTAGTACCCATTATCTCAAATCATTTAAACCGAATTTACCTCATTGAATATCAACCTACTTATTGACATTTATAATATAATATAATATAATATAATATAATATATATATATATATACTTTACATTACTTATATTTGAATAAAAAACTACTTTTTATTACAATTACAATAATTTACATAAGAGAAATTTTGATATTTAAAAAATAAAGTATGTATTGTGGTGATACAGTAGAATATGATAATGTTTTAATAACATAATGTATTATACATTATACATAATATCCTTTGCTTTCGATCATTTTAGATACGATCAAAGAATATTCAACACTTAATATATTTAACTATTTTTTAAATTTTTTTTTTTATAAATACTTGTACTTAAATAGAAATGTTATAATAGCAGAAGAGTATTTGGGGGTGTTAAACCTCCTCAAAGAATAAGTAAACTTTGATGAAAATATGCTTGATACAAGTTTTTTAAATCATTGTCATTGTCCTTATATTATAAGAATATATTTCTTCTACTCTTACTATTGGAAAATTATTAATGGCTTTGTTTTTATGGATTTAATCATTTTTTATTTAATTTTTAAGATACCTATAAACCAATATAAATTCTATAAAAACTAGGCATATTTTATTTTTTATCATGACAAAATATTATTATTTTAAATTATAAATTAAATATTATAAAATTTTAAAAATATTGTATCACATATAAATAATATATTGGGATACCTTCAATTATACTTTATCAAAATACTCAAATAAAAATTATTGAATTTTTTTTATTTTATTATTTTTTTCAAACATGACCAAGACTTAATTTATATCTATAACTTATATAAACATAGATGAAAACACAAGAAGAAAGTAGAAAAATAATTTAATATTTAATCTCATATGATAATGGAATAAGTCAGTACAAAATTATAGCAGACTTAAATAAAAATATTCATTTTATAATAATAATTAATAACAAATAAATGAATGCCCAATTTTACAAAATAATGAATTTAAAACTGTTTAATGACTGCTAACAACATTTTGTTCAAAATGAGATACAATTTAACAGAAATAAAAAAATTATTGAGTTTATGAACTTAAGTATCAGTAAAGGACATAAAATCAAGGCTAAAATGTACATTAATAAGATGGTAACCATACAGCCCCAATAGCATTTAAATAAAAAATGCTGAACACTACTTAGCTTCATGGTAATATGACAGTCTTTCCATATGTAACAGTTTTTGCAACAGAGGTATTAGAACTAAAATATTGAAAGATACCAAGTAAAATGTGATATACTTATAAGTAATATCTAATACAGGAATATGTCTCTTCAGCACATCATCCATAATTTGAATACCACTTTTTAATAAAATTACATCTACAACACATAATGCATACTTAATAATTAAGAAAAGCAAGACTATGCACACATAGCCCAAACCACTTCTGATCACAATCACACCTAAAAAAAAAAAAAACAAAAAAAATTAAACACAGTTATTAATTTTCAACTAAACACACATAAAAGGAATTTAATTCAGTAATTTGCGAACATGCTGTTCATCATAGGTGTACCATAAAAATAAACACATTTTCTATTTCCAACATACTAATCAACCTAGTGATTGATAACTATCTTAAAATTATAAATGTTTCCAACATTCTTAACTCTTTGCCCTCAAGTTCTATAAAAACATATGATTTTTTTTTTTTTTATTTTATATTAATAAATCCAGAAAGATAACTTGAAAAAATGAGAAAGTCAATTCCAAGTAGATTTTACTGCAAATTCAGATAGATTTTAAAAATGTTATCATAACTAGACCCTACTAGATTGTTTGTTGAAAATGTCTCCTATATTATAACAAAGATTCTAAATCATGATTTATATTGTAACAATTCACTTTAAAAAAAATAATAAGTAAAAATTATCTAATCATATAATTTATACAAATATTAATATTTTAAGGAAAAAAATTTATTGTAAAATGCTTATATATAAATATATATTTTTTTTTGTACTTATTAATAGTTACTTACTTAGTATAATTGTATAATATTAATAGTATAACAAACTTAATAGTTATGCTATAGATAATTCATTATTATTTCAGTTATTTAAATGCTAAAAATAAACTATTTATTTTTATATATATTTACCTATCTCATATAACGTAGGCCAATTAATAGAGTTATTTATTGGATTAATAACACGAAAATCATCCTGCAAACCTAATGTGACCATCAACCATCCTCCAGTTAATATACCCGCACAAGTTCCAACAATCATAGTTGTATCACCTCTAAAAACAAAAATTATTTTTATATAAATATACTAAAAATATTATATTTTAATGGTGAAACATCCATATTACAAATGTTCATATAATTAACCATATTTTTTACATATATTTGGAGATTATTATTTTCTTGTAAGTTTATTTTACACTTATTCTATTTTAGTTCTTTTTTTAGTAACTATCAAACAAATAATAATAGTTAATCCATTATTTCCAATATTTTACACTTAATACTATCATCAGTTTCTGACATAAAAGTTAAATTTACAATAAATAAACAACAAATACCAATTATAAATAATTTCAAAACATTATTTTTTATTATGTTAAATTGAAAAAATGTTTAACCATAAAGATAAAATTTTAAATGTAAATAACTTACTAAGTTCTACACATTTATTTTTTACTAGGGTATTATATTGATAATAGTAGGCATAGTATTAATTATCAAAATACTTAAATACTTGATATTAAGTTAATTTCTACTTAATACATTTAAGTAATTATAATACTTTAGAGTAATAATTAAAGTGTTTAGTTATAATATGGAAGTTTCACTGATTAATAGTTACAATAATATATTAAATTTAAATATATTAATTTTGTTAATATTCTTTATTATTAGGTAATATTTTTGATTAAACTTAATTTTGCTATTAAATTATAATCTTAAACAAATCAATTTTTTTAAATTAATAATATTTCAAGTCATTTTATGAACATTTTACAATATAATAGTTATAACAATACACATAATCAATACATATATATACATAAAAATATAATTTTTTATAATCAAGTAATATTTTAAATTAAACTTAATGTAAATCAACATTTAAGAAATAGTAAATATTATGTAATATAATATAATTCAATATAAATTTAAAAAGAAAAACTATCATTTACAAAATAAATAAGTTACACTGTTAAAGAGAATGGAATTTAGACATTAGTATTTTAATTAAAAAAAAAAATAGATTTGTTTAAGATTAAAATTGAAAAAATCAAAAATAGTTTATGGATAAAAATCAAATTTTTATAAATTTTTTATAAAAAATTTACTTGGTAGGAGTCCACTGTTCACCAGTTGGATAAATGAGTATTAAAATCACAGTAACAATAAGAAGTAACAATGGTGTCCATTTACTATACATCAGATAACGATCTAAAACATCAGCTAATGGTATAAATGGAATCAACAAAAAAATAGCTAATAATAAACCAGCAACCACATCCTAGAACACAATGGAAAAAAAATACTATTTAAGTAATGGGTATATACAAAATTTTCAAAATAATGTTTAGTGGAATATACGGCGTATATGTAGTATAATATACTAGAAAACACGGTCATAAAATATTAGTCTATGGCAGTGTTTCCCAACCTATGGGTCGCGAACCAAAATTGAGTTGCGAAATATTTTATTGCGACTGACGACCCATAAATAATATATGTACGAAAATAATTTTAGCCGTAAACTTATAAATACCTAAGTGAAGTTTTATTTAATATCTCTACGTTTAATAATAAGGTGATGTTTCACTATTATTGTAGATTCTACAATGTAAAATATAGGACTTTAATATCAATTTATTTTTAATAACGTTAGGACACTATTGAAGTATTTATAATGCCTTAGTAACTTTTGTATTATTTAATTTTATCGGTACATATGCTAATGACTGTCGATGCGGTATCAGTCGATTATTCATACACTTGAGAGATAGTAGTACATCGAGACTAATAGAATAGGTACAAACGAAAATTGTTAGTTTACGATTAGACAATCATTTTTAAATACTCAAATTTTATATATTAAGTTTTACTTTTTTAATGGGTAAGTTTATTATTCGTAAAACTACAGCCGGTACCAGTCAACCAGTTCCATCGAACAATTAAATACTATAATACTATATTATTACTTCTTTTTT